TCTGTGGCATTCTTATAGCCCCAACTAACCGATTCAATGACAATGAAACTTTGTACATCCCATAGTTGAGGGACAGTCTACAGAATATCTGAGCTGTACTCTTCAAAACTGCCAGTGGTGAAAAAGAAAATATTCAAAACTAACAGATGAGTAGAATAAAGGAGATATGAGTGCTACATGAACGTAGGTGTTAAAGATTTGATCCTGAAGAGAAACCGAGACACTAGTGAAAAACTAGTAAAAGCTGAGTCAGGTCTGTAGTTTAGTTAATTACATCCATGTTGATTTATTAGTTTTAACAAATGTACTATAGTTAAGAAAGATGTGAACATTGGTTGAATAATATATGAGAAATCTCTGCTCTGGTTTTACAACTTTTCTGTAAACCTAATAGTTTTCCAAAATAAAGTTATATAAATTTGATAAGCCATAACTAGAATATATCGTTTATTTTTAAAATTAAATTGTTTCCTCATTGAGTTTATTGGTACATTTTAGGTATACAGTACAGTTACGTTCATTACTGGGATCTTGTACCTTTATATGACAGGTCTTGGTTCTCGTTTTTTCCCCTTATCCCTGCCTTCCCTTCACCCCTCCTCCCCTCCCCCTTCATTTCCATTTTTTCATTTTCTCATATTTTTTTCTTCTCCCTTATTATCTTTGCCCTACCCTTCCCACTTTCCCTACATCTTTAGCCCCTTCCTATTTCACATTGCCCATTATATCATTAGGATCTTATGTACTATTATAGTTTATTCACACCAGAGAAACTATTCGGTATTTACACATGTATGACTTATGTATTTCACTTAGGAGTATATACTCAATATGTATACATTTTCCTATGAATGAATCTAATTTCTCCTTTATGGCTGAGTAATATTCCATTTTATAGAAGAACCACATCTTCTTTATCCAAATATAAAGACCCGATTCAAAAATGGGCTCTGAAATGAACAGACATTTCTCAGACAAAGAAGTAAAAGCAGCAAGTAAATATATGAAAAAAATGCTCCATATCACTGGTCATTCGAGAGATGCAGATAAAAACAACTCTGAGATTCCACCTCACCCCACAAAGAATGGCTGCTATCAAGAAATCAAACAACAAATGTTGGCAGGGATGTGGGGAGCAAGGAACCCTTCTCCATTGTTGGTGGGAGTGCAGACTGGTGCAACCACTGTGGAAATCAATATGGAGATACCTCAAAGAACTGGGACCAGAGGTTTCATTTGACCCATCCATCCCTCTGCTGGGTATCTTTCCAAAAGAATTAAAAGAATCATATCACAGTGATATATGCTCACCCATGTTTATAGTGGCACAGTTTGTAATAGCTAAAACTTGGAAACAGCCCATTTGCCCATCAATTGGAAACTGGATAAAGAAGATATGGTTTAAAATTAATTCTACTGGTATATTTAATGTATACAATATAATGACATTCATTGTTGGAAATGTGTACCTTTACATAGTCAATCTTGGTTCTTATTTTTTTCCCCATTCCCTGCCCTCACTTCAACCTCTCCCTCACTGCCTGTCTGCAAAGACTTTGTTTCCATTATTTTTCATTTTCTCATATTAATTCCGTTCCCTTCTTTCCTTACCCCTACTCATCCCATTTCCCCATCATCTTTGTCCCTTTTCTCCCTATTTCACATCATCTATTATACCTTTTAATTTTTATTTACATTTTCAGTTTCTCAAAGCAGAGAAACTATTTGGTATTTACATATTTGTGTCCCATAGAATATATGCTTTAATAAAAAGCCAAACTGTTCCTTCATAGAGGTGATTTTATTACAGTTATTCTCAAAACAATTCTTCTAACAAGTTCTTCAAATAGATACAAAAAAATGCCTATGTGCTGTATCATAATACACCTGTGAAAATTTTAGCTTATAAAATTTTAAAGTAGTTATTAATAAATATCCACTGTGGAAATAAAAATTGTGAACTTAGTTCATTTGTCTAATGCCTTATCTTTAAGCAACTGTCACTTCTGGATGAATTTTCCAAGACTATCACACTGAAATCTCCTGTTAGCAATTAAATCAATCAATGTGCTATCCATAGATGTTCCTTATAGGCTTATTATATCTTTCCAGATATGATTTCTTTCTTTTTTGAACATGTTGTTCTTGTGGTAGAGCTAGTTGTGTATTTACAAAAATAGGATGTGATGTGGATTATGGGAGTATGATTGTTGGAAAACTTTCTTCCTTTATATGTTCAAGTTTAAGCTATTTAGCTCTTGTCTAAAAAAATGTGGGTTCTTATGCATACTCGGGCACAAAGAATTTGATATTCTGTTGAGGTTACAAGCAGAAAAAATAAGAGAATTGGTGCAGGGATTTCTTTATGATGAAGTAGTCAAGCACCTAAAGGACCACATTAGAGTCTTAAGGTAGACAAAAAGCTGTACATCTTAGTAGATGTTTTGCTCTCAAAAATCCCTGACAACCATCATCTTTCTCTTCCCACTGGTCTCACACTAGACCAGAGAAATATTAACACTGTTTTCATGTAAAGGACTATCAGAGGACCAAGAAGCACCTAAAATGGTGGCATATATCTTTTCCTTAAATTTGTGGGTATACACGGAAATTGTATTCCTAGATGCTTGCTCCAGTGCTCTTCAGGTAGGAGTTATAGCTTGCCAAGTCTTCTGCTACATTTCAGGGAGTTTAGAGAGTAATTTCCCTCAAAATCTGCTTATGTCCCATCATACAAAATTTGTATTCATGAGATCTAACCTGACTCTGAATGATGAAAAATAACAGCTCATCTAAAGTGACTTTATCATCATGGGAGATAAGCGAGAATCATTAAACTATTCACCCAATGAAATGAAACTATGGTGGAACACTTTTTTTAAAAAACAAATAACACTGGAGATTCAAATAGAGCACTGAAGGTAATATTTTGTCTCTCAGATGAATGGAGCAATGATATGCTAAAAAATAATGCCATCTTTTTAAGGAAAAGAAAAAAGAAGATATTTTTACTTGCTTTAAAAGGTTGGTAGGCAATTATAATAAACAAGTGTAATGGAACACTCTGCTGGGGGATGTTTCCTGTAGAGCAGACTGTATATGTGAAGGGAACATGGGAGACAGAGGATTGTTTGTACTTTGTTTTTATGTGAACCTAAAACTTCCCTTCCAACTTTATACTTAATGTATTAATTGTAAGCCTAAGAAGAAAAAGAGCAGAAACTAATGAGATAGAAGGCAAGAATATTAAGTAGCATAACTTCAAGACCAAAAGGATATCTTCTTCACTTATAAATACTTTCTAGTAACTATCTAGATAAAGAAGTCATCCATGATTTCATATAAAGTAATTACTGCAGTCTTGACCCAAAATTGGATATGACTATAAATTTAAGAAAACTTGGGATTAATCTCCTTTGTGAACATCAATTTTTATAAGTATATATTGCAATCAAGTGGAGGATGGTTAGAGAATGCAAGAGTGGCTTAATATCCGGGCATCTTTTCATGTGATTTACTCATTAGTATAAGAGAATAGATATATAATTATCATGAATACAACAATTTTTGATAAACGTACCCATTCATCATCAATCTTCTTAGCAATCCACAAAAGGAAAATAATTCTTTTACCCTGATAACAAATCTCAATAAATTTGAAAAGTACTTGAATCACACAAAATATTTTCTCAAACCACAACTAAATTAGATGTCAACAAAAGAAGGAGATTTGGAAAATTGCAAGATATTTGGAATGTAAACAGAATAAATAACCCCTGGGTCAAGAAGGAAATCACAAAAATAATTAGAAAATAATTTGGACTAAATGTAAATAAAACTACAATTTAGAACAGTAGAGTTCTAAAGCATTGTTGATTGAAAATAAAATTCAGCAGCTATGTTCTAGAAGGGTTGTCTACATTTTTAAAAAAGAATCAGAATAATTTATCATTATATTGTGGCATTGCCACAATCAGGCATCTACAGAAAAGAAATGATATATTTTAACCATATTTGTATATAAATATTTTTAGTATCATTATTGTAATACCCCTAAACTGTAAGGAATCCATATTCCATCATGTGGTGATGGACAAATAAAACATATTTATATAAAGTGGAAAAAAAAAGGTATTGTGTGATTAAAAGGATAGAGATTACTTATTTATACAATGTATAATGAGTCCTCTAGGATTATGCTGAGTGAAAGAAGCCACATGAAGAAAACTACATATTGTTATGATTATATTTATAGGAAATCTCTGAAGGACAGATTTGTGGTAACATGATGCTAACACTCGGAGTAGGCACTGACTGCAAATGAGCTGAGTGCAGTGGAATTTTTAGGATGTTGGAAATACGTTCTATAACTGGATGGTGGTAATAGTTGCATGAGTCTAAGTCATTTCTTAAAAATCACTAAATTATATACACTTGCAAAATGTTTGAATTTGTGATATCTGTATTTTCAATAAAGTTATAAAAAATTTGAAATGCAGATTTAAAACTCTTAGAAAATGTAGGATAAATTTCTTAACACTTTGGGTTAGAGAAGAATATCTGAAACAATAAATAGATAAATCAACATGTAGAAAAAAGTTAATGAATTTGATCATTAAAATAAAAAGTACTTTAAAAGGTACCTTTAAAAAAGAGAAAAGACAAAAAGGAGGAGATATCAAAAAATGATTTGTATCTTTAATATGAGAAAAATTATGCAAATAAAAAAACTTGGGAACGTGAGGAATATAAACAAGCATTCACTGAAGAAGAAGAAACTTAAATTTACAACAAACAAATGACTCGACTTTAGTATTAAGAAGATGCAAATAAAAATTTTATTTAATACCATCGGACATCAAGTTTCAAATTTTGACAGTACCACTTGTTGAAAAGAATGTATATTAATGGAAACTTTCAAGTCATTGAGGGAATTCTATATTAGTATGGTCACACTGGAGAGCTATATGACAAATAGTAAAAGAATGAAATACTCATACCTATGACTAAGTAATTCACTTCTTCATACAGGGAAACTGTCTCATATGCAAACACATTTTCAGGGCAGCATTGTTGATAATAAGGAAACTGTAAAAACATAACAAGAATTTTAACAGAACAGTAGGTAAATGAATTGAGGTATATTCATACATTGGATATACTTAGAACTGAATTGCAATAACATGAAGTTGTCTTTAACAAACCTAATATGTAGCAATAAATACCAAACACATACAAGGACAAAATTATAAATTTGGGGGAATACATGCCCATCTAATGAAAGGAATACATGGAAATAAACCAAAATATATATTGGGTACTCATCAGTATTATGAGAAGAATGAAATTGTGGGCAGGCATCTTGGAAGTATTTACTGTGATAAGTTATTTGGTGGCTACACAGTATTATATGATTCATCATATAAAAATTCATATTAAAAATAAATGAGTGAGGAACGGGACAGCAAACAAAAGTTGAGATTTGTTAGAACAAAAAAATCAGGTAACATGTAAAAGCAAAAAAATAATTAGTTAAGGTTAAAATTCAAACCAGACTATAAAAAGACATTGTGAATTATGAATGATGGAATTAAATAGATAATGATGTGGTCATAAATCTGAAAGCTTTAGATATTGCAATTATATATAGTGAAATCCATTAAAGATGCAATATGAACTTGATAAAAACGAATAAATGTTATAGGTGATATAATTTTTAGTACTGGGTCAATTGAATAAATAATACATGAGATGCAGCAAAATTGCTATATTTTTCAAAGCTGAGTAGAAAATGTTTATGGCAGAAAAGTTTTACTTTTAGTTCTTGTGAATAACGTCTTTATTTCAAATATTTTTAACAGCTGGGTTTACTGTACATACATGTATTTAGTCTTCAAGTAAAAATTTGGAAAGTTAATATCAGTAATAAAGAAAGAATATATGCTATTTTGCTTATAATGATTTTGTTTTGTTTTTTATATGAGATTCCAAGTTTAATATTTTTTACATAACTGAATGTTTCCATATGTCCCATTTTACCCAAAGCTACTTTGATTTTATTCTGTTCTTATATTTGGAATAAAATTTTACTTTTATAGATTAACATTTTCTTTATATAAAATTCTCAATCTTATTACCTAGATTGTACCAATAAACTCAATAAAAAATTCTAAATCATCATTGTAAATATCAAGTATAGAGATTTTCTGGTTTTTAATACACTTTGTCTATGCTCCTTTAATGCCTAGTTATGTCTTGATACAGTTTTCTCATAAATATAGATTAGTGTACATGTAGAAGTAAGTTCTAATATCAGTTCCTAATATCAAAGTAAAAGACCTAAGAGATTGTAGAGCAGTACTTCAACCTTATAATTGTCCTGGTAGATTGGAAGAGATTAAAATGTATAATAGGTTCCACTTTTTGAATAATGCTTCTTACAACAGAATAGTATATATTATAGTAGGCAAAGTAAACTGGAACTCTAAATAAAATTATTGATTCTATCTTGAATGCCATTTAAATGTTTTGAAATGAGTAAAAAAGGAGCCATATCATGTATCTTATATAAAGTTATATAAAAATAAAATTGCAATTTTAATATCAATTTGTATATTAAATATTGTTTTGATAATCTCAATTTTAAAAATTTTTCAAAAACTTTTTAAAACCTTTTTCATACTTAGAAATGAATAAAAATGTCAATAGAATTTTAAAATATAGTAGTGTTTATTTTGTAAAAAGTCTATGAGACTTTAAACCAAGGAATAGGCTAAAAGAAGAGGTGTAGAATGGAAAGTTCAGAACCATTTTCTAAAGGGCCTGGAAAAAGAAATAAGGGAGTTTACTATAAGGTAATAAACAGATAGATAGTATGAAAATATGGTATATGCATTCATGACTATTCCACAAGGAAAGTCATTATTATGTATAATTAATATGCATGAATACAAATACCCATATACATATATATGTTTAGATTAATAAAGTTATTGAAGTTGTTAATTGTTCAATAATTTTCAGTGAGGAATTTTTTAATTTTTGCATAGGAGAGAGAGAGAAACAGAGAGGGGGAGAGAGAGAGAGAGAGAGAGAGAGAGAGAGAGAGAGAGAGAGAATTAGAGGAATCTTAAACCAAAGCATGCCCTTCCTTGATCCAAAACATCTTTAGGGAGAATATACATTTGGAATTGTAGACTGTCAGATCAAGTTGATAAGGAGAGATGAAAGAATTTCTCTTTTCATTTCAGTGTAAAATAGACTTTCCCTCCTCCAGAAAACATCAAACAGGAATCTAGTCTGCATCACATAAAGTGCTAACTCAAAATTTTGGTGGCTAAAGAAAACCAGAGGATTCTGGAGTAACTCCTTGTGTATCCTTATTTCATTCTTATCTCTGCAGTCAGCAGGACCTCTAAATTGCTCCCTTATAATAACTACATTGTAGTGACAGGATTTAGGTATCTTTAATTACTGTCTTCTGACTTTGATATATGGAAAGACTTTCCATGAGAGGCACAAAAAAGCAGAACTCAGGCTGACATTATATAATAGAAGTGAAGATTCCGGATCTTTCCATACCAATTAAGGGATCCAGTGATTTCTGTTTGGGAAGTGAAATTGTTTAAGTAAGGGAAATGGTATTGAAGGACTGACTCATTCAAAGTATGTCTCACACACTAGTGCTGGTGCTGTAGTATGTCTGAGGCCCATTGCCTCAGCTGTGCCTTCTCGAATAAAGTCTTTAACTTTTAAAAAAAAGTTGGGGGGGGATAGAAAAAGAAATGTTTCTCACTGCAAATGTAACTCAGAACAGGTTTACGTTATTAGCTTCTCTTGTAGGTGTCCTAGTGAAGTCTCCTGAACTGAATCTGTAGAACTAGGTCTTTCATTAGAGGCTCTGTATGAAACAAACTCTTAAAATCTTTTATTAGAAGCTCTGTAGGAAACGAAATCATGTCATGTACAATATTGGAGGACTTAACTTTCTGCCTCAGATGGGGAATGACATTGCATTTTTGGCTTTCTCTTGACTGCTGTGCAGCAAAATTTATTGGTAAGATTTTTTTTTTTTTTTAATGTAAGCTGCTGGAAGAGGCTGACCTGTCTCTTCTCTGATATTTGCTCATAATTCTTTAAGTTTCTCCCAAACCTAGAATTAGACATCTGAGCTTTTACTTTGGAGTAGATAATCAAGAGCCATGTATTTCTTTTGTAGCTGAAGTTGTAGTGACACAATGGAAAGGTTATACATATCATGTACCAGCTCTGTGTGGCGGAGATCATATTGAGAGCAGTGCTTTAGCATTTTTTCTTTCCTGACTGGGAACGAATGAAAGGTTCAAACTTCCTTTTCTTGGGTTTGGCTTAAATTAGAAATGATTAAACCTTCCATATCTCTAAGTTCTGTTTTGTTTTTATTGGCTAGTTGGCCATTTCCAGACTTAGTGTTTTGCAAATGTAGTAAGAGGACGATTGCCCTAGATTATAGTTCAGTTTAGGTAATTTTGCCATTTTCCTCCCTGGACTGAGGAGGACTAGGAGAAGGGACAAGTTGTATTGTGTGTTTGTTTTGGTGTATGGAACTTAGAAGGCTGTTAGAAAAGAGGATTTCCAGGTGATTGCTGCCCACATAAATGGTTCATAATTTGGTTTCTGTATTAAAGTAATAATAGCTGCTGTAAAATTTTTATTCCCATATCAAACTGCTAGTTTCTTTCCTATTCACTTGATATACAAATGGGTTTCCCCAAAAGATGATTGTCTTATAAGCAATTATTAAGAGACCTGGGGACTTTTGTCCATTCTGTGGTTGTATTCTCTTCATCATACGGCTCCTGTGTTATTAGCTTGGGAAAGAGCATAGAAGATATGTGTGAGTGCATTTTCTAGGGCCAGCCCTAAAAGTGGTCTGTAAATCTTCTGTGTATATTGGCTAGAACTCAGTTAAATAACTACATCTACCTATAAGAAAGTCTGGGTATGTAGTATAGCTGTGGACTCAGGAAGAAAGGAGCAGAGTTTTGTGATTTCATAGTCAGTGTATATTACATTTGTCAAAATGAAACAGGGATCAGTAGAAAAATCAATAAAAGACATGAAATACTGAGGCTTGCATCCCAAGAAGAGCCAGATCTTGAATTCTAAGAAAGTGACACAAATGAGAATTATGTACTAATCCTTTAAGCTGGAACTGAGTGTTCCAGGAAGACTTTATTAAAGCTTTTTTTTTTTTAGTATTTATGCATATATTAGGGAAACAAGTAAGCCAATAGTAAGTAGAAATGTATTTTTTAATCCATTGGCTAACCACAAATACGAGCAATGATTAAACAGTTATTTCTTTCCACCTCTACTGTCAAGGTAAAGTATTCACTTTTAGCCATAACTTTAGATTTTTTATGTTAAGGTTTATAATAAAATATTTTGTAGATTTTATATTATGTTGTCAATGTGTTAGGGTTAATATTTTTAAGCCAATAAAGTAATTTCCAAATAGATGTGTTATGTACATGTACCAGCTTCCTACAATAAATGCAGTCATTTTGTCCTGCAAACATGTATTAATATAGCTGGGTGTGGTGGTGCACACTTGTAATCCCAACACTGGGGAGGCTGAGGCTGGGGCAGGAGGATTGCTGTGAGTTTGAGAACAGCCTGAGCTACATAGTGAGTTCAAGGTCAGTCTCAACTGCATAGTGAGACCCTGTTTCAAAAAACAAAACAAAACAAAAAAGCAAACATGTATTAATAAAAATTTTAAAAGAAAATTGAAAATAATAATTGCTAACATTTATATGGTTATATATTTTGCACATTTTAGTTCAGTTGGATATTTGAATAATGTTTAAATAATAGTCTTGGACTTTACGAAGCATCTGTGATATAAACTAGTTTCTTTTTGTAGGTGGAAGTTGATAAGAGCAATTGTAAATGTGTCATTTGTTCAGAAAATCCAGTGTATCCATGGTATCTTTTCCCCCTTTCTCTCCAGGAGAAAAGTTGAAATCATGCACACCCATAGCCTTTTTACTCTTCTTGGAGAACGGCTGATGTTGCATACAAACACTGTGACTGTCACCACATAC